CTCCAATTACTTTGCGGTTCACCGTATTTCGATAAAATATACAACTGTCCTCCAAAATTATTAATGTTTTAATCTCGTTATGTACCCATAAAAAGCACCTATGAGTGTAAATTTGGGAACCGTATTGCTCAAGAATTTTCAATGTTGTTGTAAGCACTTCCTTTTACTGTTTTGCGTCGAAATAGTCCTTTGCCATAATATTCCTCATACGTGTCATGGCCCTATCTATTGTTGGAATGCATTTAAACAACTTGACGCCTTTCCTCAAGTAATCTTTCTTAAACTTGTTCATACACTCCACACGTTGCACATACCACCGAAAAACTTGGGCCTAAGGCGTGATTTCGCACACACATCTCGTTTTGCATACATCATTTCCAGTCATTCCTTTTGTTTATGTGTAGTAACTTTTTCTTTAAAAAACTCTCATTTTTTTTCAAACTCATTGAGTGCAACTGGTTCCTAAAGACATGCTTGAAATGCTCGTACCAATTCTTCATCCTTGAAGTTATTTTGTGCATTCCTTGCCACGTACCATGCTCACAACCTATGATTGCACATGGGAAACACATACTCAATTACTTTGTGCCTCCCCTCATCCCCATTCGTCAGTATTAATATAGACTTCTTGTCTTTCATGGAGGATATGAATGTTTCCAACAACCACTTGTACGTTTCAAAGGTCTCGTCAAGCAATAAAGCACAAGTAAATATTACACTCGCTCGGTGGTTGTTCAAACCAACAAACAACACTAGAGGCTTGTCGTACATATTAGTTTTGTATGTGCTCTCGAATATGAGGACGTCTCCAAATGCAACATAATCGAAAGTGAAGTAAAGTCTCTCGGAAACAAATTAGCAAACATATTCTCCTCATCCACACTTAACTTACAAAAAAGTTCAAGATCCACTGACCCTTTCACTTTCATGTAGGCGAGTGCAGCGTCAGTTTCACCGTCCAACAAGATTTTCCTATGTGATGCATCCAACTTATTGTATAGATCATTGATTTGGAAGCCCACGTTCAAATACACCCCTAATTGGTGTACCATATACTCATAAATATGACATGTCATCACTAAAACTCTACACATTGCCATTGTTTGGGCTAAATCTGACTTCACAACATCCCGGTTCAATCGGAGATAAGGTGATTCACATGGCATCATTAATTCGTTTATGTGATCTAGTTCAAAGTTTTTTATGATGTAAACCTCACGTTTCTTGTCATAATTCACCACCAAAAAAGTTGGACAATTCTCTCTTGTCAACCGCTTAATTAGGTGATTGCATCCTATTCGATAGGTCATTATACTTTTCTTTTCTCACACCTGCTTTTGAGCAACACCACCGTCTCTTTGTTAATTTTCCTTTCTTATTATAAATCAATGTGTCTTTCCTTACACTGAATCCTTACCTTTGCATTACTTAAGTAATATTCCTCTGCTAACGGCTAATGGAAAGCTCTACAACAACTTCTGAAGTAAGGCCTTATGGGTAGACATACTGGTTAACTACCAATCAAATGATATCTGAGTTCTTCAAACTACTATGGTTCCTGCTTTCCAAATTAAGTAAACATAATCCTAAACTAGCTATTTTGTATATAGCTGATATGATTTGAGGTCTATTCATGAGTAACTATTTTCATTTGTTTGATTCCATATTAAAGCAACGTTTCATTACATAAAACTTGAAAGAATGCATGAGGGTGTTGTACATACCAATAAGAAATAAATAAAATTGCCGGATACCATAGTTAATATATAAAAAATAAAAGAGGAAATTTCAGTTTTTCTTTGCATCTTCAGGCTTTTTGGTGTCTTAAATGATCAAAATATATGGGTGAATCTTTAGGCTATTTGTGTTAAGAGTGAAGAGAATGAACTCCTTTGAGCTTTGCAAATCAGATTTACCATGAAGGTTTGTTGTGCCAAGGTTTTTGTCAGATTGGCCTTTTTGGCATGGACAACTTGTTTAAGACTTTTTGTGGTAATGTTTTTGGGACAATTACTGATAATGGATGATTTGATACTTGAATTGGTGTTGTGAAACAAGATTCAGTGAGTGAACCGCTTATTGTTGCAGATTCCTGTTGGGAGGTCGGGGGGATTCTTGTCTCACCCATTTTCTTATTTCTAAAATGGGCTTCTACCGTGGACATAATTTTGTGAACAATATACATGTGGAGACTTTTAGACAGAAGCATTATGTTTCAGAATTTTGTACAAATACCATTTGAAGTATAGGGGTTATGAGGTTATTAATATACGTCTCTCCCTCCTGCCCTCCTTGGTTGTCTCCCTAAGCGTTCCGTAACCCTCCCCGATCGCCCCAACTATCCTCGATCCTCATCTCTGAGCCACACCCCAACCACATCCACCCAAATCCACACCCAAACGAATATGTTGACTATGCTTTTGATGCCAAATTAGGTACTCATTTTTGGATTTGAAAAAAAAAGGTACATTATTATGATTATGCATGTAGGTACACAAGGGACCAAAATTGAAATTTAATCTAAACATGGAAGTTTAATAAACTATCATATTCAAGGGTAACAGTGTAATTATCTTGATCTTAAATTCATGATTTTATAGATTTTTTATCCTCTCAACCTGTGTTTCAAGAATTTTTTATTTTATTTTTTATGTGGAACTTGTTTATTGAATATTTGGAATGAAAATTAGTTTGGTGGCTTAACTGCTCTGTTAATGGCAAATGGCAAATGGGGTTGTGTCTGGGCTTTTAGTTTTTGGATTAAATCAGCAAAGAAAGGCCCAAGTAATAAAGGACGGTGGTAATAAAGGCCCAAGTAATTTTTTATCAAAATCTTGGTCTTTTTCCTCCTAGCAGTTTCATATGAGAGTTTCTTGATCTCCTAAGATGATCACAATGTGAATTTATGTTTGTATAAATATGTGTAGGACAAATTAATTGATGTGCTATCATACAAGAAACATAAGCATAAATGTTTAAATCCACCATATACAACGCTTTTGTGTTAATATGTAAAAGCCCAGACAAGCACATGAATAGTGGCTGCCCTTGCAAAAGGTTGTGGTGTTTCCACCAATTGCCATGTCAACAACTATTCACATGAGATATGAGGAGAGAAATTTGTGTAGAGTTTTGGTGTGGGAAGTGAAAATTTTGACTAAGTATTTATTTTTTAAACAAATCTGAATTTTTTTGTATTTTTTAAGATTTTTTTTAAATTTTTTTTGTTGCTGAAATCATCGCTGATGTCAGCAAACCCGAGCTTGAACTCAGGCTCGCCTCCCCCTCGGGCTAGCCCAGTTTGCTGTTGGAAACTCCTTTTTGGCCCAAACCCCCCACCCTCCCAACCCGCACTGCTGGAAGTGCTCTTAGGGGCATCCGATAAAATTGAAACGATACAAAGAAGATTAGCATGGCCCTTGGGGATGGACACGGTTTGGTTCGATTTGATTCTCACTTCAAATTGGAATTTGTACCATTTAATCGGTCCGATTTTAGTGAATTTTTTTTGAAACCGAGCGATTCGGTTCTCACCAATTTCGGTCCAGTTTGAATCGGATTCTTAATATTATTATTTTTAATTTTTTTTAAAAATTATTTTAAATACAAATTTCAACTAAAAATTTATTTTTTGGGCTTGAAAATTAACAAATGATCCAATTTCATACAAAGAGAGATGTTTTGAAGTTGTACTTGGAAAAATATTAGTTATAAGATTACAAATGTGGCATTAGATTTTAATAATTTTGTACACCAAAAAAAATATATACACAATCAATTCGGTTCGGTTTGTTCCGATTTGGTGCGATGTGAAACTAGAATTGGAATTGGTTGGAATTGGTCTAGTTCTGTTCGGTCCAATCCGATTTGGTGCGTTGTGAAACTGGAACTGGAATTGGTTGGAATCGATTTGGTCCAATTCGGTGCCGATTTGTTGACTTTTTTAGTCAATCGTTTTATTCATCTAGTCTAATTCAGTGTTCCGATTTTCCGGTCCCAATGTCCACTCCTAATGGCCCTTGTGCAAGGATGAAAGGCATAAATCGATTTGGCCCTAACAATTTTTTTTTTTTTCTTACTTTTTGCTCAACTAGTCTTGCAGACTTTTTGAAATCTAGGTGAAATGGACAAGCTGTTGTGAAGACTTTAGCTGGTATAAATTTTTCCTTACCAGTTTCCAAATTTCCTGGTATGTGAAATTATATATGAAAATGATGCACTTGCTATCTTTCACTGTTTCTTGTTATTTGGTTTTATGATATAGTTGGATCTTGTCCTGTTACTGGAACAACTTTGTGTTATAAACTGAAGGAAGCTGAATTTTTACAAGTAGAATTGGCAGGAACAGAATTTGTAATAACGCATCTCCATATGTTTCTTTGTGCATCTTTTGCACTTCCTAGGAAACTTGAGGAATCCTAGAGACTCGGACGCAGCTCTACCGTTGGATCATCTGACTTAGTTATTAGTGACCCTCCTTCTATCTTGAGAACAATCTCGGAATGTGAATTTGCATTCACATCCTTATATCGTGACAGAAGAATTCTCTCGGTTTCCTTTTCTTACACGCAGAGTGAGGAGATTTATAGTGTGTGTACTAATTAGAAATTAGAATTATAATCAGGAATTGAATTCTAATTATGGAGGATTCCTGCGTTTATTTCACATCAAGGAATTAAAAAGTACGTGAGGTCCACAAAAAATCAAGAATTTAATTCCTGATTTTGGAGGAATTCAATTACTGAGTGGGAGGTGATATTCTAATTCCTGGTGAATTAACCCCATAAGGAATTCATCTTTTTTACCCATTATATCCTCACAAAATTTTAAAAATTCCAAATATGTCATCTACTTTAACCCAATAATGATGACATTTTAGCAATTAAAACCACTCCTACCCCCAATTCCATATGGTTTAGTAAACAACTTTAATAGGAATCCGGAATCTAACTTTCCTAAATCTATATGGTTTAGTAAACAACTTTAATAAGAATTCAGAATTTAATTCTCCTCAATCCAACATCTCCTCAATTCAATTCCTCCTAATCCAATTACGGATTAGGTAACCTCATGTATGTATACCGTAGGAAACCATTTCAATATTGTCTTCATATCAAATACCAATACCTCTACACTAGTCCAAGACGTACGATATATCTAATTTGTAAATACATCCAAAATACTGATAAAGATTAGTGCCAAAAGAAATACTTCAATACCTTATCAGCATTGGTATTAGTAGCATTGCATTTATCAGCTGCTAAGCCCCATCTCAACAGAAAAGCAGCAGCATCTGTGTACCTATAAGAACCAATAAGAACCAGTAATTTCTAGATCTCAAGGGTACACTATTTAGTATTTACTGGGAAAACAAAACTGATCATTTTCAAACCGCTAATCGCTACTCTTTTCTAATAGATTTTAAACCTCAAACCACAGTTTTCCAATACCTTAGCCTCAATTAAGCCATTTGTTTTCCTTAATGATGATTGCCATAATGTATTTCATCCGCTCAATCAACTAAAATGACAATAATCATAATCTGCATCATCCTCCCAATAACTAAAATGATAAATTGCCATAATTTAAATAACAAATGGGATCTATTTTGAGAACTTACTTCTCAAGTTTTATATAAACACTAGTCATCATCTTCAAGAAGAGCACAAGCATCAGTGTAAAGTTGAATAGCTTCATCAGGTACAGAATCTTCCAGAGCTCTGTAATAAGGTCATCATTTCAAATATATTTGTAAAACACAAGAAGAAAACAAAATAAATCACAAAGGTATATTTGCAATACACACTAAACAAGAGCAGTAGTGGCTCAATTTCCAAACTAGCTCTCTGTAAATGCTGTAACAAACACTTTTTTTGTTTTAGTTACATCATAGTATTTCAGGTTGCAGATAGAGTTTGAAAGAAAACCCCTAATGCAGAATGGTAGAGAGAACTTACTGTCCCTTCAATTCCCAAAACAGCTAAGGAAGTTAAAGGGCTGTAAACTTTTGGGGTTTTTGGCTCTACAGAAGGCCAAAATAAGTCCCAGTTGCAATGTCCTGGGTTCTCAAAACTGCATACTCTAAATTCACGGTAACTTTATTTTGTAACATGACGTTGATGTGGGAACAAACCAAAAAGGTAAAAAAAAAAAACAAAAATAAATGCATAAAAATAACACACTTACAATAATATTACCGGCAATTCCACAGGTATATACTTTTCAGAAAAAAGGCCTTTAGCTTAGCTTCACAGAATTCACTGTGCCATTTCATAAAAAACTACTCATAACTGAAGAGGGAAACATGAAAAGTTTCCTCATTGTATTTAAAATTTTCAGCTGACTCAATCATGAAGTAGCAAAATATGTCAACACAACACAAACACACAAAAAGTAACCAAAGGCAGAACCAAAAGTTGCCATGTTTTGTGAAACCGATACAAAGTAAAACATATAAAAATGATACTCAGACAGTTGAAAATCTAGTTAATGTTCAATGAAAGTATTAGAAGAACTAGCATATAACAGACTTCGAGAACTGACCTCTATTTTAATTTTGAATTGATTACGAACATTCTCAATTATTCTCCCAGGTCGTGATCTAAACACAATAGATACGAAATTAATCACAGTTCTATAAACACTAGCAAAACAATGGACAAAGAAAAGGCTAAACATTAGTATTGAGCATAGTACAATAGCAAGAATCCAACATGAAGAGTACATAAAAGGGAGACCAGTTACAACACGACACAGAGGAAGGTACTCTCACTCAAAACCGCCCCTCTCTCTTCTCTCTCATTGATCTCCCTCCCTTCGAGCAATTGAGGTGGTCGGGCTAGGTTTGGGGAAGGTAGTAGGGGAGAGGTGGCAAGAGGGCTGGGGGTTGATCAGAGAAGAAGATTGAGGAAGAATTTTGTTTTAATTCTGTTCAGCTTTCATCGTCTCCCAGTCTTTGATTCTTCTCTTTTTATTCGTAAATCTTTAAATTTAGTATTGCTCTGTCTTTCGTTCTGAAATAATTATTACTTAACCACAAAACTCTTTTGATGTCAAGAAAGAACAAGGAGTATCTTTCACTAGCTTCAACATGAAAAGAAATATGGCAGAAGAAGTTACTGACCCCCAGAGTGGCAAATTGCTCTCAATCATCCAAATTCAAGATCACTTCATACGCATCTTCAAATGTCTCCCCAAAACTTAGAAGAGGCAAGGAAAAGACATTTGAACTTGCTTTGAAACCATCTGATCTAGAGCAACAACATATAACAGTACACTCAGCAGTGTTCAACACAACTCGGAAAGGTGACTTTCAAATCTAATAAAGAAGTGCTACAGAAGTTCCTACTTCAGTGTTACAAATCTACAGCTAAAATTAACATGTGACTCTTCAAGTATGATTTTTAGTAAAACTCCGTATGGAACTATCTTGACACTTTTCAATTTGACATGATATTTTCAGATATAACAAATCAAAAGAAGGCGTCAAACTTATTAACAAGGATCCAAAGAATCTAAGCCTCATGTACAATTCATTGTTCTACCCCATAGGTAAGCGTTGAGGAAGCCTCAACTGAAATTTTAGAAACAAAAAAATGTAGGCAGTCAAATAAAATGAAATCATACAAAGGTTGTGCATAAGAAAACAAGATCTGGATTCTATACAAAGGTTGTGCATAAGAGAACCCACATTGAACTATACAAAGGTTCCAACAGATGATAGCTTAATTTTTCATTGCCACACTCAAGTGAGCACTTTAAACTGACATTTACAGGCAACCTGCCTTCGTGATATTAGGTCATAACTACCTTCATGGTCTTTGGACATGCATATTGTCTACCAACTGAAAGATTTTCACACAGTTCCAATCCATTTGCCCATTCCTTTGAAGGAAAATCCTTCAGAAGCCTAGGTTTGTTTTAATACACTTAAATCTCCTTCTATCTCTTTTTATAAAGAAAACATAAGGAAAAAGATAAATGCAACGTTCAAGGCTTCAACAATGCTTATCAACAATAGGAGAATATTAAAAAGAAAATTAGCAAATTATTATACGGACCTGCTTGAGCTTTTAGGCTTGAGGTGTGAAAAGGCACCAGATTTTAGTTCAACAGATTCACCAACTGCAGCTGACAAAGCAAATGGAAACTGTGGCTGTGCAACTTTGTCAACACTCTAAGAGACATAGTTAACCGCAGGAGAAGCTGCATCAGAATCCTTCATTGAAGTAACTTTACCCCCAAAGTTCAACATGGGAGTACCAGCATTTGATTCTTCTGCTGGGTATAGCCAAAAACTTTCATACTACAAAATGTAAAATAAAAGTACATAAGAGAACTTGGGTCATAAAGATACTTCTTCCCATTGGGTCATAAAGATACTTCCTCCGGAAACAAAAAATCAAGATACTTCTTCCCATTGATGTCATAAAGATAGTTTCAAAATAAGAAAGCAAATACAATGATTGTACACCAGAGTTACTTGTATTTTCACAAAGACAATGTTAGGCCAATTAAAGGACACAACCAAGAAGTTTACATCAGACTCTTTTATAATCCAAGGATGCAAATCGACACTCTGCCACCTAACTGTGAAGGTTTGCTTCAAGATCTAACAGTCATTACATTCATGGGTTTTTGTAACTAGTAGGAAGGAATTCAAGGAGACAAAAACATATGGATAAACAGTAAACAGTGTGACAGAATTACTTTTCACAGTGGAATAGTCAGGACTCAAGGAATATGTAAAAAGGCTACAAGGTTACAAGAATACAAGACGACTCATAATAAGCTTTCATGAGAAGAGAAATGCTAATTACTACAGATGCAACCAAAACTTGGTCCCTTTATCTAATGAAGCCACAAGGAAATGAAAGGGGAAAGGATAGAAGATACATATCATGTATGTATAGCGTAGGAAACCATTTCAATATTGTCTTCATATCAAATACCAATACCTCTACACTAGTCCAGGATGTACGATATATCTAATTTGTAAATACATCCAAAATATTGATAAAGATTAGTGCCAAAAGAAATACTTCCACACCTTATCAGCATTGGTATTAGTAGCATTGCACTTATCAGCTGCTAAGCACCATCTCAACAGAAAAGCAGCAGCGTCTGCGTACCTATAAGAACCAGTAAGAACCAGTAATTTCTAGATCTCAAGGGTACACTATTTAGTATTTACTGGCAAAACCCACCAAAGCACCAAACCCAAACGCAATTTATACAAAAGCCCAGATATCAGAACCGAACATGCTGTCTGTGGTTGAGATGGGTGATGAGCACTAGGGCTGAAAGGACTGCAAAAATCGGAAATTTAAAGCAAAAAACCTGAAAAAGATAGAGACTTTACTTACCCGCTTGTCTATGCTAAGTTGTGGGAGCCAACGAGCAAGAGAGAGCCAGATAGAGAGGGTTAGGGAGGTAAGGATAAGTCAAGTATGATATGGCAGAATACAATAACATGTAAAATATATGTCATCCAGGTTTTCCTGTCATCCGTCCAATATGCAGAACTCAAATCTTAATTGAAGGTAAAAAATAAAAATAAAAATCCGAAAGTCAAAAGTCAAATGGCAGCTTCTAATCTAACAAATGTGTTATAGAACTATATAATATCATATCCACATGGGATTAGTTTGTCAGACCAGCCGTTACAAAATATACCAATTAACAACATAGGTCAATGAAGAAAGAAACGAAGACTTCTCAGCGAAAAGGACGCAAAAGTGCCGGAAAGAAGTGGAGGGAAAATTATTTTCAAATTTCAAAATTTAGGAAATACATATATAAAATAGGAATACATGAACGTACAGTCTTACCGAAAACAAATTAGCACAGTTCTTAAACCGAGCTGAGCTTTTTTTGGCTGATTGGCTCTCTTCTTCTTTCTCTCGCCGTTGGCTCTGTCAATCGTCTACTTCCACCAGATCTTCATGCTCTCTTCTTCACCTCACCAAGCCACTTCAACCAGATCTTAAAAGGTATTTTCTTTTTCAAAATGGGTTTCAAATTTCTTGGCTTTAGGCATTGTGTGAATGTAGTAAGCCTAAGAGCTGTCGATTTCATAAGAAAATGCCTAAATTTTTCATGTCATAAGGCCTACCCAACAGATGGGTTTACTGTTTTTGTCTATCGACAGACGTTATGTTTAGTCTGTTTAGTTTCTATATGTTTCATGGACTTGTTTCATTGTGTTTCACCCTTTTGGATTATTTCTAATAAGGTTTTGCCTACAAGTGCATATAATTCTGAAGTTTTGTGAAATTCTTTGCAACTTTCCATAACCTTTAAAATTCATAATCTCTTTTTCATCATAAGATGTTTTTTGTGTTTTGTTTGTACTGTTGAGTATGTTTTCATCAATATTATGATTGTTTTTGCAGATAATTTCTTTGTTAATTTCCAGTTTATGAAATGGGAGAACCACAAATGGGAGATCTACCCACATCAAATCCTGTTATTGAACTAGAAGGGGATGAATTTTGGCCACTTTCTGGGAAACCCTTTTTTGATGTGGTTCTGACAAAAACAACTATCAAACCCAAGTACCAACTGGTAAATTATCCCCTAATTTCTCATGTTTAAATGGTGGTGAGACTTCCTCCTATGTCAATTTCTTAACTATTGGTGTCAGTCTACATGAGCATAGTTGTCAATTGACCATTGCAATGAAGTAACAATTTGTTTGATAGAGCATAATGTATTGGCAATTTGCACATACGTCTTAGTTTTAAATAAAGGGTTGCCTTGTTCAAGCGAAAAATAATTTGGCTACTGCTGAAACTTTCTTTTTCTTTGCAATTGTAGGCAATAATGTTGTGCATTGCTATTCTCTAATTTGGGATTATAATTTTCTTTGTTTTAATTAGTCTAATTCATTGAAACAATAATTTTTTTGAGCAGGTGGTCCCAGGCAAATTTAGTGCAACACTACCTTCCTGTTCAATCCCTACAGTTCTCACATTTCGGGGCAAGAACTGGGAGATGATATATCATGGATCATCCATTTATAAAAGGCTTGATAACTGGAAAGCGTTTGCCATTGACAACAATTTGAAGGTTGGAGATGCATGTGTTTTTGAACAACTCGAGTGCAGTAGTATGAGGCTAGTATTTAGAGTCCAAATTCTCAGAGGTGACATCCCATCTAAATTTCTAGACAAGCTCGATGGTGATAATGTAGATGCACCAGTTGTTCTCGAATAGTATATGTCGTATTGTTTTTTACTAGATGTTATCAATTTCCCGAATGAGATTACTTTCGGGAGCTAATATGATTTGAATTTGATGGAACTCTAGCATAGACTATTAAGGATGCGATAATTGTATGATTTTGAGTTCATGTGTTCCAATTTAGGAGTTATGGTGTCATTTGACACGATACTTTAGTAACATGAATATCTATTATTGTTCGGATACTTTTAAAGAACGTAATTTAGTAGCGTACTTTCCAACAAACATCCTCTTTAATAATTTCGTACTATTCAACTGTTATGTTGCTCAAAATGCATCAAATAACTTAAGGAATGATTTTTGAAGGTTATAGTAATTGCACTGTCTTTTTTTTATGAGTGGGATTTAAAGCAAAAAACCAGAAAAAGATTGAGACTTTACTTATTCATTTGTCTGATGTGGGAGCCAAAGATGGAGAAACAAGCAAGGGAGAGCTAGAGAGAGAGGATTAGGGCGGTAAGGATAAGCCCAGTACATTTGCAAAATACAATAAGGAAGGATGATATGGCTTAGTACAATAATATGCAATATGCAGAACTCAAATTCCAAATTTTTTCACAAATGTGTTAGTTTAACAATTCTTGACAAGAGCAAATAAGCAGAGTAAAGTTGTCTCCTGAGATTTGAAAATGTTATGTCAAGCTGAATCCATGAGATAATAATTCCAATATCTTCATATCTAAATAAATTCTATTTAAGCATCCCAATAGCATTAGAAATGCAAAATCATGTCCAAACTCCACTCTATATAAAAGACAGAGATTTAACTGACAGTCATTTCACCATACCTTGATTAATACAAATTCAAATAAACAAAATATACATTACCATGTCCAAATTAATAAGTTTCCTGGCGAGCTTGATGATCTGCACCTATTTCACCTGCATATATCTACAAGGAAATAAACCAAATTAATAGGTTTACATTTACCCCTATGCCCATTGTCCACTCTAAGACTTGGAAATCATCAGAGGGGTAGTGCAATAAAATCAATTTAAATTCCCGATTGAATCTCTTCCTTCCCATAAAAGTAATTCTCCAATCCAAATATCTTAACAACACATTTTCACTGCAAGTTTCGTATTTAAATGATTAACCAAACTTAAATGTGATTCCATCAGTGACAACATATAAATAATATAAGTATAATATAAGTCATGAAATCAACAAGCTATAAGTTATAACTGTAACTACTATAGTATAGGGCTTGTTTCGGTTAATGAAAATTGTGAGAGGGGATGCATTCCCAGTAAGTCAATTACACTCAAGTCCTATTTAGTCCTATTCAAGCCTCTGCACTTGAAGTCCCAATACAAAGTTTTGTCTTTTTTCTTTTTCCTTTTTTTCTTTTCTAAAAGGACATTTGTATAACGGCTTTCACACTATAAGGGCGGTAACCCTCTCCACTGGAAATTAAGTACGCACCTACTCTAATAGTAGCTTTCACACAATCCCTAATAGGTAGCCCTCTCCATGTTTACTAAAACGGTGTACTAGCTTCACAATATAGGAAGCCGTTAATGTGGTAGCTTTCACTCTATTAGGGTGGTAGCCATCTTTGTTAAAAAAAGCATATACACATACCTACCTCAACATAGCTTTCACTCAACCCTAATAGGTAGCCTTCTCCTAATTTATTGTGTACACCTATTTTGTATAGGTAGCTTTCACACCATTAGGGTGGTAGCCCTCTCCATTAGAGATTAAGTGTGCACCCACACCTCTATGGCTGCTTCACACGTCCCCTACATGCAGCCATATGCTATACATAAACCGTCCTTAAAACGTAACATTAGTGGTCAATCTAGAGTCATCATTTTACAAGTTTTGGAAGGGTTTACTCCATTGGTCAATCTATGCAGTCTTTTACAAGACTAAAAAGAACTAAGTACGTACCCTGACTAAATTGAAAATACGTACTCCTCACACTTTGTTCTTTGGATTCACAAGCCTATGACCAAAGTAGTTCTAGCTAGTGAATGTAGCTTAACTTGTTGATTCCAAGTGTTTAATGGAATTTTTGTAATGTTGTCAGAGACCTTAAGAAATAAATTTATATATAAAAAAAAAAGTAGCAAATTATGTCCAACCAACCAGGAGTAGAAATATCAAAACATAAAAACTCATAACAACACAAAAAAGAAGCAAGAAACACATAAAAACTTATATGCCAGTGCTAAACACAGAAAAACAATGCTCAAGAACTATCCATTTTCCCCTCAATACTGAGCATACGACGTAGTTCCTTTGTCCCACACTTAGTACTGGACTCAATACTGAGCATATGACATAGAGTCCTGGTCGCATCCTCAGCAGAGTGGCAAGAAGAGCACCCCTGGTCCTAAGTAGAGGCCAGAGATGTCGACTCCACTGCCACAAAATGTGGCATGGGCAGTGAATGTGGTGGCGGGGAGTTTAGGTAGCAGGGGCCCGCCCATTACTCAAGTATCAATATCGAGAACTTACCTTTGTGACTCAGCCTCGGCCTCCCCATTTGAGAAGAGAAGAATGTTGGATGCAACGCCTTCGAGGACTGCCGTCGTGAGCTATGGCCACCACTAGTCTACTGGGATAAAGAAGTACCCCTGAAACTCATCCTTCGCTCAAGAAGAGAAGAAAGCTGGACACAACGCCTTCAAGGACTACCGTTGTGAGCTATGGCCACCACTGGTTTACTGGGATAAAGAATTACCCCCGAAACTCATCATTCGCCTAAGATGACAAGAATGGGCGCAACGCCTTCAAGGACTGCTGTCGTGAGCTATGGCCACCACTGGTTTATTGGGATAAAGAAGTACCCCAGAAACTCATCAAGACTGTAGCTAGGCTAATCAAGATTGTGGCTACCTCATGGTCAATTTAAAATAAAAAAGCTTTGACGAACGATCTATAAAAAAATTGATACAGTTTAGTTCCTGAACTCAATTAGTAGTACTTCAAGAGTCCACTTCTTCCCCATACTACTAGTGAAAGGGAAAACGTAAAGACTACCATTAATGCAGCCCAAACGAGATTTACTATATCCATGTGAATTATGTCATCTATCTCTATGAAGGAATTATTCAATTATTGTTCACTAATAAATAATAGTGGAATCACTGGCGCAGAGTCAAAAAGTGATTATGACCCAACATCATTGATGAAATAATACAATAAATCCAATTATAACGAGTTCTTATACGATTTCTAGTATAATCAGAAAAGATTAAGCACAAGCAAAATATGTAGAGACCCCCTTGGAGGTATCAAAGAAATGCTACTAACATGTAGAAAAAATAAAAAACCCATTCTTTCTTTTGTTGCTCTTCATTAAGTTAAGTAAAAAGTATAAAAATATAGAAGAAAGCTAGATCACTATCTATCACATACCCTATTTCTTTCCCCTTTTTACCATTTTATATATTTTGATCTAATTCCTATCATCTCCCTATTGTCTCTATGAAACAATGGGAAGACCTCCTATTATGTTCTTGACTAGGGGTTAAGAAAAAAAAATAAAAAATATTAAGTAATAAAAATTAAAAAATATATTAAGTTGGGAATGAGGAACTATGAAAATGATGCTTTATGTACTTGTAAATTATAATAGGTTGTAAGAAATTGGATAGAACAGCGTGTGATGGTATTTGCGATGCGATGGGACACTTGTGGTTGGAATGGTTATTTTGTGATGAGGGGAAGAATAATTTGCACTCTTACGCAATCGAGCAGGCTGAGTTTACAAAGAATTTGAAAAGGTTTCAGGCATACAAGATGGCAACGAGAGTTGACAAAATTTATGGAGATGATTTAGAGAAGTTGAGTGGGCAGTTAGTACATCTAACCTCCACAAAACCCTGTCATATATCATTCGACACAAGACTCTCCCTCCATAGCAGCTCAACATGTTAATATAGAGGTAATAGAGATGTATTTTCCAACTTGGAAAACACAAGACTGAAGTTATAAGATTTCAAAATTTCAAAATTCATAGTTAAGTTTTGTGAAGTTATAAATTTATATTTGACAAAAAAAAGTTATAAATTTATATGGAAAGTCGGACCATAGGGTGTTGTTGTGTAGATACAGCTGCAACAAAATGGGTTCAACTGCATCCTCAACTTGTGATACTCGCAAGTGCACGAGCCGTTCGGTAGTATAGCGTATGTAA